TTAAGTTTTAATTGTACCTTTATAAGAATAGATTTTATACAAATATAAGAACACTGTATGTATTTAAAGAATATATCATGAGTATGAACTAGTTAAAGACGATTGAATTATTTTAAGAGGTATAATCAGCATACACCATGTAGATTCTGGAAAAAGCAGTCAACACTTCATCGGAAGAATTTTTATTGCAGCTCTTCAAGGGTTAGGATAATGATATCGAAGAGTTTTACGAATGTCAACCTAAAAACTAGACTAAGAGAAATTCCAATACTAAATATACAGTGGCGGAAAAATAAATAGTTACGCGACATTTTAGGTATTTTATCTTTGTTTATTTAATTTTTATTATTTATTATAAAATTATGGCTGGTTATCTACTAAAAATTATGGATGTCCGAGTTGCAAACTTTTTACAAAAAATAAAAAAAATTGAAAAAAATCCATCAAAACTCCACGCTTCTTAATTAAATTTCTTAGCAACATTTTGAGTATGTAATTTTTAGCCCATTCAATTTTAGTACAATAAAGTGCAAGTTTAAATTAACTAGGACTTACAATGGATTTTGAGCAAATTTTTTATTGTTAAAGGTGTTGCTCATTTTCTCCATATTAAAAAAAAATACATATTTTTTAGGGAAACAGCCTAACAACGCCAATAAAAAAATTTTAGCCAATTGAAACTTAAACTTTATTACGCTATAAAACGGCATACAAACATTTTTTCTAAAAATTATATTAAAATTTTGAAATTTTTTGCAATTTTGTTGAATATGTCGAATTTTCATAATTTTTTTTACAAAGTTTGAAATACGAGCTATACTTTTATAACTGAATAATAAACGCTTTATAAATAAACGAAAAATATCCAAAACTTTTTAAAATCTAATGTCCCTATTTATATTTTCGCCACCGTATGTATGTAACGCGCATGTAAGTACAAGAATTTTTGAAAACGTTTACGTTTGTTAAGTCACATTTAATTTCTAAGTATCAATTAGCATATACATACATTCATACAAATTAGCATGACATACATTTTCGCTTAAGAATATTTAAACTTAGCGCTTTCAAGTGTACAGCAACAACCAAACATATTGCACACATATCAATTTCTTTAGAAAATTAAAAAATATACTTATATGTAGGTCTACGTTTAACTTTACCATTGAAAATTAAAAATGTGCTTTCGGCTTAAATATGTATATGTGAGGGTATATAATTTTAAGTTTGTATGTATTGAAGACAATTGCAGGAACAAACCAACGATTTTTACTTTTCAGGCAAAGTTATTTGCTTTATTTTTTGTAACTATGCGAATATTTGCTTTTATATTTAATATATGTATGTAAATATTTTATAAAGTATAAGTTTTATAAAAGAATATTTATACGCATATACATATATATATGTCACATTTAAAATACACATCAATTTATTTTACATGTATGAATGCATATATACATGTATCTAAATATATGTATGTGTATTTATAAAAGTTCTTATAAGAATTAAAAATCTAAATAAATAAATATTTTATATGTAAATTGCTGACGAATTTTAATGTTAAATAATTTAATAAATACTGCTATATTAGAATAAATACGAAAAAGCAAAAAAAAACAAAAAGCGTTTCTTTCCTTCTAATGTTGACTTAATTTTTTTATATTTATTACTATGGTGCGGCGAATACTACTTACTGGCCAAAAGTCGAGAAGTAACAAAATTGATTTGAAACTTCTTGATGTTTGGGTTTTTTAAGATCGCTGATTTTGAATATGATGTCAGATTTTTTTAATTCAAAATGGGGGATCCAATATGGCGACCAAATTTTATAATTTTTTTCTTTTCATCAAAAACTCATCTGTATATAAGGTGGTGGTTTTCGAGGTTGCTAATTACGAGTCCGGTGTTAGGTTTTTGGAATTTAAAATGGCCGATCCTCAATTTTTTCTTTTTTACTCATATATAAAAGGGGTTCGAAGGCTCAAAATGGCGGATTCAATGTGAGGTCATTGGATTCGGAGCAAAGAAGTTTACATAAGTTTAAAATAGCAGGCCGCATTTTTGGTACATATGCATATTTTTCTAATCATAGATGCTCCAAATAAAAAGTTTTTTTCCTTTGGATAAAAGTATAACGAGTGTTTGTATTGCTATTTATTTTATATAAATTTCTACTTATGTTTTTAAAATGGCACTAGCACAACAAGTATATTACTTATAATTAGACTAGGTATAAAGATCGAAAAAAAACTTTTACAAAAACTGCAAAAACGCATTTTTCACCTAAGTATATGCATATCATTCTTGCCTTTTCCTTTCATGTAGCTGTTATATTCTCCGGGGAGCACCCCTTTAATAATATTGTGCAGCAAACAGTTTAAAGCGGCAGTTTTTGGCATTTTTATTGACCGCTTGTTTTGAACCATCGAAAAGCGCGGAAAAACACACGTAGAAGTTTTCTAAGTTAATCAAAAAGTGCAAGAAGTGCAACATTTTCGTTGCAGATCAATTAGAGAACCAGAAATAGACCACTCATTTTTCTAATTGCATTTTAAAGCGTCTAACTTTTCTTGCTAGAAAAATGTTTAAAAAAGTTTCTTTCTACTCACGTTTCACTGTACAATAACTCCACTTCGCGTACCTCATAGCTGTGAATGTGTGTTGCTTGTGTTCGCTATGCATTCACTTTGATCAGCCGTTGGAAACCAAAGTACAAAATGAAAAAAAAATAAAATAATGAATACAAAAAGAGAAGGATGTATGGCATGTGGTTAGCTCAGCAGTGCATGCATACTTGTGCATGTTTTGTAAGTTTGTAGTGCTTATTCCACTCATTACTTTCCTTTTGGGCGAAGCGACATCGTATAAATTAGCAAAGAGCCACTGAGTGGCAACAAAAAATTCAACTGAAAGCTTTAAGTTATTTTCTCCTAGAATTTCCTTTGCAAGTTTCACAGTTTTTTGAGTCAGTTCTATGTCGCATTTAAAAAGTTTAAAATTCATTCAATTTTAAATACCTGGAAAAATCATCGGAAGTTTTTACTGAGTACAACACGCGCACTAAAACATAAAAGCGTTCAAACTCACATGCTTGTGTAATGCTTCAAGTGTACTCACTGTCTAAATGTTAATCTTCCGTATTTGTATATGTATATGTATGTGAGTATGCATGTGCATAGAAATGTATATATTTTCAAATGACTTTCTATTCTCTCACTATTTTTGCTTATTTCCACAACTAACTACGGGAAATACTACGAATTGTAGCACACTCGTAGTACCGGCATAAGTCTTTTTTTCTTATCGCTTGTAAAAGCTATGCAAAAATTTATATGCAGGCACATTTATGTTCGTAATATACTAAAATTCGTATATACTTATATATATGTATATGTTTTTCGCCTACTCGTGCATCTGAGTGCAGCTTTCATTTTCAGGGAAATATTCCCTTGCCTGCTTTCGCACTTCACCTCCTTCAGCATCTGTAGCTTTTCTCAAAATTTATGTTCGGTAGTAAATGCAACCACTTACATACATGCAAACATACATACATATGTATGATTTACACAACTTTGTATTTGCAGCTGTAAGAATGAATGTATCCACCTCCATTGTGTTTCTCTTCGTTTGTCAACAGCAGGTTTGAAAGTGTAAGCAGTAAGCTTCTCAGCAATGTTTGTCGGTGCAGCGGAAACGTTCGCATATGCTAGTAAACGGCAATGGTTTCCCTCAACGATTTCCGGTCGCCATGTACTCATCGTACTACATTAACGTGAGCGCTACTACAGCTGATGTAGTAGCTTGTCGTCGGCAATGACGACGAAAAGTGTGAGTGAGACGATGCTAAAAATATGTATGTACATGCTCTCTTTGAATGGGCGAGTGTAACCCGCTCAATGCAGAAAAGCACAGGGTAATACAGATGCATGAAATTTGGAAATTTTCCGCAATTTTGTAAAAAAAAAAATTCAATTCGGCCAATGGTTGGAATCGATCGTTTTTGAAATCGACTCCCGCGTCGCCTAACGGCTAAATATTTTGTGAAGATATAACTTTCCATTTAAGTAAAATATACTATATATTTTCTAAATATAAAATAAATCATATTATAAAAAAGCATTTTTCAAATATCTTGACTCCTGCGCCACCTATCGTGAAAACTTTTTTTTTGGTTTTCAAATATCTCGACACCTCCGCCATCTAGCGGATTAATTCCACTCTCATATTCCATTGCCATCGGTCTCTGAGCTAGGTCTTAAGTTTCAAGTCTCTGGCTCATCGGGAAGTTGGTAAAAAATTTATTGCAATGTGATTCACATGTTTATACATGTATAATTTTTTAAAGCAAATATTAAGAAAACAAATACCCAAAAATTTTTATAGAGTTTCTTACCCGATGGGTTTCACGCCACGATCTATAAATTCAGATTTTGTAGCACTATTTAGCTCACTTTGCTTTTAAAAAGTACTCGGTTTCAAGTCTGCGATGTGACTTTTAGACGCCATGATGTCCTTTTAGGGCCAAATTTTCAGTGCAATGTTAAATCTGAAGTTTAAGCGCTCGAGCTATCTGGTTTATAATAAGATTAGTCAATCAAATGTCAGCTAGCTGTTAAGTATGAACGTAAATTTAACGTGATCTAAGTGCAAACTGGCGCTGAAAAATTGGCCCATCGAGTCTATTAGTTCCCGTCACATGTACATATAATAGCCATTTTAAATGTGTATGGAAAAGCGCACTACGTAATACATATTTGCATGCAACAATAATGATTTTTAAACTCCTTGCAACACCTCTATTGGTTCTAAGAAACATGATATTTCCAAAAAGCATTAAAATTTCAATTTTAGCTTCGCACAATATTCCTACAGTTTTCTCTTTTTCATCACTCACCGAGCTTTACTCAGAACGAACAAAAACCCCCTCTCAACGAACGCATTGCATTTCCAGCAATCCACTGATTGCCTGGCGAAGAAAAAGCATAAAAACAAAACCATCTGAAATGCAACAGAGACGAAAAGCTTCGCTCACGTTGAGCTGAACGAAAAGCCAGTGAGCAAGTGGTGGTCGTGATGTAGACAGAATATTCAGTTTTCATTGTGCTTTAAACTTGTAAACGACGCAAAAAGTTGATGCAGTAGAACACTAGACAGGAAATTTAGCAAAGGCTTAAGAAAATTTAAAAAGTATGTAGGTAATAGTTAGTCAACGCTTACAAAAATTGGTGTATTTTCATGAATTACGGGTGTTTAACCAGCTAAATGAATTTTGAAAAAATGTGTAATATTAAAATGAAGTTTTGTGCATTTTGATATGTGACATTCCAAGATAGTTGTTATTCGAATATAAATTCAGTGCAAAATAAATTACGCATTTGAACAATTTTACCCTAAAAAAAATCGCAGGCAAAGAATTAAAGACGAAGTTAGAAGGATACATATTTTATACAATGCCACCATAATACCACAGCACACGTAAAGGTCCTGCAATCTATCGCCGCTGCATTTTCACCACCAAAAACAAAAAATAAAAATAAAAAAACAAGTCCTTACAAATGAAAAATCGCTCGAAAAAGCAACAGCAGCTGCCGAATGAAAAGTAGAAACAAAACGCAAGCATCAAACAATAGCAGTAACTGAAGCGGCCGCCGAAGCAGAATAAAAACAAACAACAAACCAAACTCATTGCACCGCAACGCGCAACTCACACTGGCCGGCCGCTCAGTCGTAGCCAGGGTTGCCACTGACGTAAAAAAAACATTTACCATCCACTTGAAAAAAATCGACCAAATCCGGAAAATATCCTCTAATAAGTTTTTTTTTTAGTTATTTTAATAAAAACTATATTTTTGTTCTTGTGTTATTTCAATAAAAATTAAAATTGTTTTTAAACAATTTTTTATTTAAATAATGATATCCTATTTGAGATCGTATTAATGGCACCTTCTCGGTTTCCTTTAACCAAAAGCGAAAGTAATGAAACTAAAGGCAACAACGACACTTCCATCATTTGAAAAAACTTCAATTGGACTTATTATAGACAAATACAGCGACTCAATGGTGATTTCTTTTTATATTCACAATTTTTTTTTAGAGTAAACATTTTTTGGTAACTTTTATATTTTTTGGTAAAAGAATATTGTTTGCGCTTTAACCAACCCCATAAAGAATCAAGTATTCAAGCTATATACAACACTTAGAAAAATTAAAAAAAAAAGCCTAAATTTCAAACGCTGAATTTTTAGAGCAATTTAAGGTATGGAGTCTTATAGCCCATGGAATTTTAGTATGACCAACAATGTGCAGCGAAAATTGCGCGTTGATTTTTTTAAATTTTTTTTTCGCCGCCGTTTTTTGTTTCATTTAACAATTTCCAATGAATTTGAATTTTTTTGCAAACAATCATAGATGTAATTACACACTATTAACTGTCTATTTTTTCCTTTTACTTAAAGAATCATAAAAAAGTATTTAGGCAAAAAAAGCTGCTCAGGATTCAAGTAAAATGAATTTTGAGTGCATTTGTATATAACGGGTGTGCATTAAAGCGTTCTAAAATTAACGCAATGAATTAGAATACACTTTTGGAAAGAAATTCGTAATATAGAGATAACGACAAAAAAATAAAGCGGTAACGAATAGTTTTAATTGTTTTTTTAAACAAAATACTTCAACAAAATGAGAAACAATTTACCTTTTTACCAAACCAAACTTTTTCTACCGATTTTGCTAACAATTTACCAAAGTGGCAACCCTGATCGTAGCCATCGTTTGAAACTTGGCTCTCTTGCAGTCGCATTTTTGGCACGCACAAAAGTAAAAGTTCAACGGCGTTATAGCCTGCTGCTTGCGCTCACCATTGCCATTTGGTCGTCGTTGTTAACGTCGTTGTACTAGTCTCAGTCGTTATCAGCATTGCTGACGAAATTGTCGACGATTTTGTCTAGTCACACCTGTTCGGCTAGACAGTTGTGTTGCTATTTGTTCGCATGCGTTCTCCGAAAGTTTATGTACACAGAAAAGTACTCGATGAAATTGTTGAAATTTTAATCAAATTAAAATCACTCATACGACTGGGTGTCTTAGTTACGCCGACGCATTACGTACATAAGTACATATGTATTTACTTTGTGCTTACGCTAGTTTTATGGTATATTTATTCTGTGTAGGTGTAAAAAGCAATAACAACAACAACAACAACAACATGTACTTTAATTAGCAAAACTTGTTTGAACTCAACTAGTACAATAACAAAAGCAAAAGCAAGGCAAGTAAAACAAATTGAAAACATCACAGTTTACTCAGTCAAGTACGCCCTGAGGAAATTAAGTAAAAATAAAAAAAACACACACACAGGAAAAACTAATTCAAGTGAAAGTGCAAAAAGAGTCCGGATAGAAATGGGCAAACTTATGTGTTTACATTTCTTTTGATTATATACTCGTATGTACGTAACTTTGTTCCAGTTGTAAAAGTATACTACGACGCACAAAAAGCAAAGCAATAAAAAAATTAATAAATAACTGATAGCAGCAGCACAGCAGTACTTTCAAAATAGTGAATTTTTAGCGCAAACCTAAGAACATAGCAACCACCGCTTATAAATTATTTAAGGTACGTAGCGGTTCCAAAAGCCACATATCTAAGTTTAAAATATATGTATTTCCGTGACGTCTTTAGTGTCTTATTTCTGGGTTATATTTCTAGAATTCTAACTAAAAATAGAGTCCTGTTAACTTCAAAAATGATAATTATTTCTACCACCTGGAAATAACTCTGGTGGCCTCCAGGTAGGGCATTTCACGTCAAGCAGACAAGAAAAGGTCAAACAAATACATTCATATTCTGGAAAATTGTAATTGTGCTAAGTATGTAGGTATGTGTATACACATTTTTTTTTATATGATGGTTAGATGCCGAGTTATGGGCTTCTAAAGAATGGAATGATTACTCTTTAAAAAAAAAAACCTGAAGTTTTGAAATGACACGAAAAAGCGCAGAAACAGGTTTTCCTTATTATTAGGTCGCAGATCATTTTTCCATTTCAGATAAATTTAACAAGATATTTAAATTTTTCATAAAAAAAGAAATTCAAACAAGGAAAATATTAGTAAGTAAATCGATTAATGCTTTGAATAAAAAGGAAAGCAAAATGTCGTTTCAACTTCGTTTCGTTCGGCGATTTGTTGTTGGAACGATTATTTTTATTTCGATTCAACTCGATTCGATTCAAAAGCCTATATTTTATATTTCGATCTGGCATCTCTACTCTACTGTACCCCGCCAAGTTATTAGAAACTGTACGCAGATGTTTATATTTTAAATTTTGTTTATTTTAATTTTTTATATAGTTCATTCAGTAACATAAACCAAATATATCGCAGCTTTAAATTTTGTGCAAAACTTCCGAAAATTCAAGAAATTTCCAAAAATTATCAACAATATTTAAATCTGATTAATAATCACAATTTTTAGAAAATTTTTGGAAAATTCTGAATAATTAACACAACTTGAAATTTTCACTTTACTGTACTGAAATTGAATGGCGGGAGAGTACCGATTTTGGCAAAGTTGTCCCGTTGAATATTTTTTAACAGTTGGTATGGTCCCGAATTTTCATATTTGTACCGCCTAAATCCTGATTTTATTAATTTAATAGAAGCCTCCGTGTAGTCTAGCCCAAAAACCATTTTTCGGAGACGTGGCACCACGTCCCATCCATCAGCATACTTATTTCTTATGATCTTCGGTTACATTTCTGCTTTAGTTTTCTTTAAGGTTTTTATATTTTTGTTTGTTAAGTTTTTTGTTATTTTTTTAACAAATAATACTTGTCGGCCGCTGTGGTGTAGTGGTAAGCAGTGTGCGCTTCCACTCCGCAGCACCAGGGTTCAAACTCTGGTCAAAGCAACATCGCAAAAATATAGAAAAAAGGTTTTTTCTTAACAGCGGTCGTCCCTCGGCAGGCAATGGCAAACCTCCGAGTGTACTTCTGCCATGAAAAATAGCTTCTCATAAAAATAAAATCGCCGTTCAGAGTTGGCGTAAAACTGTAGGTCCCTCCTCTTTGTGTGACAACATCAAGGCGCACGCCACAAATCGGAGGAGAAGCTCGGCCAAATGATGATGAGGATATGAAAAATATAAGCTATATGCATATATATGTATATTGTATGTATACATTTTTGCTATAAAATTCTTCAAGTTCTTTTCTTTTTGCTTTGTTTTTGACTGTATTAAACGATATTCTCTTTATTCTAAAAAAAATTTTTATGTCTTAATTCGCTGCTTTAGAAATGTCCCGATTTTTGCCCACAGAAATCTGGTTGCCACAGCTATATACCCAAAAATTTTGATAATAATTTTAGAAATATGTTGAGTTTTCGTAAGTTTTGCACAAAGTTATAAACTTTTATTTGATTGGTTTATGTTACTGAACGATCTATATTTTTATAAAAAGTAATTGTTAGAAAAAAAAACCGACTTAAAAAAAATATATATATATATATATAATTCATGATCCACTGATCGAAAACCTCTGAGACACTACCTTTCTGATTCAAAAAGAATTATCGAAATCGGTTGACGTGGTCAAAAGTTATGCAGTAACATGCATAAAAAAAAATAAATAAATATTCCTTCGAACTGATAACCTCCTCCTTTTTTGGAAGTCGGTTAAAAATAACCATTAAAATTGGAAAAATTTTATGAACTTGAAAATATAAACATGTAAGTACTGTTTCTAATTAATTGCCGCGGTACTGTATATCTTGTTTAAGACCATGGCGAAGAGCGGGGCGTCAATTGATTCGTATATTATTTTCGCTTGATATTCGTCGCCTCAATGACGCTACTCATAATATCTTTCACATCCAGTTCAGTTTCATTCCACAGGTTTTACGCAACATAAGTAATAATGACTGAGCCCACTTTCAATTGCAAACTGTGTCTTAGCAACCCCCTTAGTTCGAGTGAAACCCAGAATTTTATGGAATCGTTGACTATTTTGTCCTGGTTGATAGTTTTGTCAAACGATTTGCAGGTAAACAATTAATTTGTTGTGGTCATAAACGGGCGACGAGAGCTCAATTGCGAAAATGCGCCCGGCTTCCATTTTCAAGCTGCTATAGCGACCCCAATAGCAGTGCGTGATTACTCGGAGATGTGGTCCATTTTTTCGCATAAGTAGGTTTGTGCGTGGTCTCTGGGACCAGGTGTGGTAGGCGAGAGACAAATATGCAGGCATTGAACATTTCCATTCCATTTGTATTGAGTTTAGCCTTAGGTGTCGGCAAATTTATGTATGTATGTTTGTCAAGTATCTCAAAATTGCACTCAATAAGCACACTTTTTACAGTATTAATAGAGTTATTCAATGTTTTAGTATCTTGCCGAGGTGTTTTTCCGAAAAACCGCCATCCTATGTCCCATCGAAATATAAAAGATAGCATGTATATCAGTCAAAGGCTACATAAATTAAAACTTTTTCCACTGGCTCTCGGGGTCACTCTTACCACAAACTGTTCTTTATATTTTCGTTCAAGCAGTAACAACTTCCAGAGAACTACAAGTTACTGTTTACTAATCTATTTGCTTGTGCGAAATCGTTAAGGACTTAGTTCTTATTGTTGCCATATGAAAAAGTGCATAGTAAATATCAAAGCACATGTCAACGTGCCAGCCCCATACCTCACGCATATTTAGAGGATCTCAAAACTATTAAAAAAAAAGAAAATAATAGGCTAAGCGATATAGTGGCCATTGCGAAAATTACACAAACCTTTGAACCGTCAGCGTGCGCGTGTCAAAGTGCCGCACTTGTAAATTCGCCCTAAGGGCAGCATTTTCTGAAGCGAATAAAAAGAATTTTTTACACGCATCAATATACATATATGTTAGTATATTAATGGCTACTGTACATCGCTGTAGGGTGCATTATGTATACATACATATGTATTTCCTATTATTCTTTTCTATCTACACTTTCTGCTTGACTGCAACTATTTGTTTAACATTTATTATTTTCTTTCTTCATTTCCTCTGATCCCCGTACAGTACTTAATGTAAGTTTCGCTTGTCGCATCGTAATCAAAATAAGTGTGCGCACATTTATAAACACCTATACAAGCACATACATACATATATACACGTTTGTATTGTACGTGTAGGTTAAAAAAAAGCACTCGCACGGTACACTTCAGCAGGCCAACGACAAAAGGAATGTCCTTGATCTTTGCCACACAACAGTCAGCAAATTGCAAGAAGACTCAACCGCCCGTGAGCATATTCCCTGCAGAGAAAAGTCAACACTCTAGTAACTGTATAAGCTGATGCATAGGCTGACTAGTTCGTTAACTGCTATAGGCTGATGCCAAAGGTGGCTAGTTCGAGAATTTCGGAAAAAACCGTCGCAAACTTCAAGCTGTGAAGGCGTACATATTTATGTCCATATATTTTGCTCTATTTTGACTTTGTTTTTCAAAGATTTTGTGCTAATATTTAGTTAAAGTTGAGAGAAAGAGTGCCAGCGAGAATTTCAATTAGTTATTATTGGAAATTAAGTAGTATTTCAGAATTATTTTATAGTAACTTGCATTTAACAATAAAATAAAATAAAATAAAATAAAATAAAATAAAATAAAATAAAA